GGGGCTCAGAGACGAGAGGGGTCCTCAGCGCCCTGGGATGGGGGCTCGGAGATGAGAGGGGTCCTCAGCGCCCTGGGGCGGACCTTGTGTGGGTGAGTGGCCGCAATACTGCAGTCTCTTCTGTCCTCATGGGGCCGTCTCCCCTGTGTCTCTGTGTTCCCTTCTCCCTCTCCCTTCTCTCTAAAGGCCCACCCTAACCCCGGGTGCTGTCCTCATCTCCAGCTCTTTAACTTAGTCCCACCGGCAACGACCCTGTTTCCAAATAAGGTCACAGTCACAGGTCCCTGGGTGAGGATGCCGGCATGTCATTTTTGTGACTCAGAGGAAGCCCACAGCTCAGTCGGGGCTTTGGGACATACGCGTATGGTTTCCATGCGTGTAACAACTGCCTTGTGGCTTTCTGTGGCTTTGTGCAGATCCGGGACCCGAAGACCCTGCTCCCCATGCCAGGGGTGATGGTTGGCGACATCGGCAGGAAGCTCGGGCAGAACGGGCTGGATAATGGGTGAGTGGACGCGCCAGGCTCCGGCCGCGGTGCTTCCCTCTGGGGGCGTCGCCGAGGTTGCGCAGGGCTTGGCTGCTGACGAGCCTCAGGTGCATCGCCGCCCCCCATGGTCTCACGGGTTGTTGGTGCCTCCTGCCGACCCTCACCCTGCAGACTGCGGAGGAACCAGGCCGGCCGTGCTGGGGACACGTGCCTCACCTGTGCACGGGCAGGAGGTGGACTGCGAGTACTTACCTTACTAGCTCCCGTGCAGTCCACCCGGATTCATGGCAACCCTGTGTGTGTCAGAGTGGAGCTGTGCCCCACAGGGTTTGCAATGGCTGGATTTTCAGAAGTAGATCACCAGGCCTTTCTTCCGAGGCACCTCTGGGTGGACTTGAACCTCCAGCGTTCTGTTAGCAGCCGAGCACTTAAATGTTTGCAGCACCCAGGGACTCCTGGAGCGGGATTAGAGTGCTGAGGGGACAGACTTCTCTGCCGGCACAGGGACGGAGGCCGGCAGCCTGGGGCCTCGGCCTGGAGGCTGGGCCGCTTCCCCTGCGAGGTCTTAGCGTCCTGAGCCTCAGCGAGCTTTAGCCCCGACACCGAGCCCCACATGACCCCTGTCACAGCGCTGACTGCCCACGCCACAGCAAGGGCTTATGACTGCTCTGTGACCTGTCCCTCACCCCGCCCAGGGCACCGGGGCCCTGAGCCTTCACAGGCGACGTGACTCGGCGGGGTCCCCAGCCTGTGGGTGCCGCTGCTGCGGTTGGAGCAGGTGTGTGCCCAGCAGTGAGTCCCCCATCCTCCTCCGAGAGGCGCCCTGTCCTTTCCTGGGCCCTCTGGGCAGTCAGTCACTCCCCCACCTGCTGGATCAGAGGGCACATGCCCAGCAGGGGGCACCATGGCCTTGAAGATCAGAGGTGGTTTTTAAGCCCAAACCCAGACCTGGTGGGCTTTCTCCTCTGACTCCACCTGGCTTTTCCATCTAAGTCAGAAGTTGGCGTCACAAGTTAGAATTTTTACGATTCAGAGATCATGTATATTGAAAAAACTGCAGCTGAGTTCGAATTTCCAAGTACGTGGGGCAGTGGCTTAGAAATCCAAGGGAAACAGAAGCAGAGTGAGTTGACTTCAGCCACATGGCTCTGACAGCGAAGGTGTAAAGGTCCTTTCCAGTGATGTCTGAGTCAACTCAAGGGTGGGGCGCGGCCCATTGTCCTGGGTTTACCTGGGGGAGGCAGCACCTTCAGGGGGTCTCTGTCTCAGGTAGGAGGGCCCAAGCGAGGGAAGAAGGAAGTGCCAGAACTTGGCTCGGGAGGCCCGGGGGGGCAGTGCATGCTGTGCCTGGGGGCAGGCTTGTCGCTGAGAGTGCCCCCCCCAACCTGTCTCAGGTTGTCTTCCCACCTGGCCCCATCTGGCTGTTTCTCAAATGGCGTTTGTGCTGCAGAAGTGATCCGAGAGAGTAGATGAAGCACCTCTCTCGGCTGAACTCAAGTGTGAATCTACTCAGCTTCCGCCCCACTCCTTAAGGCGCTTCCAGCCAGCAGAACCACGCGGGGGTGGACGCTCCTGGGCGCCCCCAGGGGAAGCCGGAGCTCAGTGGGCGTCTGCACTGAGGGCAAAAACAAAAACCAAACCCATTGCTGTGGGGTCGATTCGGACTCATAGCAACCCTATAGGACAGAGTAGAACTGCCCTATAGAGTTCCCAAGGAGCGTCTGGTGGATTTGAACTGCCAATCTTTTGGTTAGCAGCCATAGCTTCGAGGCCAGGCCTTCTTAAAAAGCGGGACATTCTGAGTGTGCGCCTGGGCCATCCTTTCCGAGCTGAGCCTCAGTGGCTGTCACAGTTGCAAATTTGGGACGCCAGAACAAACGCTCTGTGAACCTGTGTGTTCCTGTCCAGCCGGCGCTGCGTGCCCCGCGCCTGGGTGAGGGAGGGTGGCGGCAGCTCAGCTGGCTCTGTACCGGAAGGGGCGAGCTGCCTCTCCCCGAACCCAGTGGACTCCCTCGTTGACAGCGCCCTCTCCTCTGCCTCCCTAAGGACTTGGGAGGGGTTGTTGCATCCCGCAGCCCTGCCCAGCCCAGGGTCCTCACTCTGCCGTGGATGCAGGGAGGGGCGCTGGGCCTTCCCCACAAGGCTGCCCCAGTACTGGGTTTTCATGGGGCCATGTCTCACCCAGTTCTGTGTTTATTAAGTGACTGGTGTGTCCTGGGCACTGTGGCCCCCTTATCACAAGGTGCACAAGACCCCCAGGAAACAGCCGGCCAGAAGCCAGTGGCCCAGTGAGGGATGTGGACGGTTGACAAACTCCACAGAACGGGACCCCTCTAGGAGTGCTGAGGAACCCTGCACCCTCTGCAGGGTGGGTAGCATTATCCTGGTGGGCTTCTTGGAGGAGGTGGCACCACCTGGATGTTCATAGTGGGAAGGTGGGGCGGGGGCTCTCTGGGCAGTGTGAGACCCAAGGGCTGACTGGAAGGGGGACAGGCAGAGGTGCTGGGGTGAGTCGTATGGAAGTCAGGGCTGATCACGGTAAAAGATGAGACCAGGAGATAGCAGCTTGCACAGGAGGTCTGCTGGAGGCAAGGGTGCAGGGAGCCCCCCAGAAGGGGAGGAGGAAGGAAACCCCGAGGAGAGGAGAGGAGAGGGGGTGACGTGTGTGTGCCTAGACCCTGTCCCTGTGCGGCTCCGTCAGAGTGCCCCAGGGAGGGGAGAGGAGAGGGGGTGACGTGTGCCTAGACCCTGCCCCTGTGCTGCTCCGTCGGAGTGCCCCGGGGAGGAGAGGGGGTGATGTGTGCCTAGACGGTGTCCCTGTGTGGATCTGTCAGAGTGCCCCCAGGGACAGCAGCGCTGAGAGTTTCTAACCCAGGGTCGTAGCTTATTTAGGGCCAGCAGATGTTGGGCACACTTTTTAGGATATGAAAAGCAGGCAGGCTCCAAGTGGCTGAAAATCTGCTTCTTTGGGCTATTTTTAAAACAACTCACGTGTATAAATTACAGTTTGGCACCCACAGGCTTTTCTGGGCTCACCAGCCTCGGCTTGCTGTGAACAAGTAAACAGCCCGGGACCCACGCCAAGGCCATCCCTGGCTCGTTTGCTTAACAGGTGTGCTGGGCCTGCAGCTGGGCCAGGACAGCGGTGCTGTTGGGGGCTGGACGGCGTGAGGTGGGGGACCTTCCACGTTGTTCTACAGGGCTTAGATTCCATGATGTCATGGATTGAATTGTGTCCCTCCCAAATATCTGTCAACTTGGCTGGGTCGTGATTCCCAGGATTGTGTAATTGTGTACCATGTTGTAATCTGATGTGGTTTTCTTATGTGTTGTAAATTCACTTACTATTATCTAAGGAGATGGATCAGTGGCAGTTATACCAATGAGATCTACAAGATGAGAATAGTATGCTATTACATAGACCAATGGAACAGAATTGAGAATCCAGACATAAATTTACCCACCTATGAGCAGCTGGTATTTGACGAAGGCCCAAAGTCCATTAACTGGGGAAAAGACAGTCTCTTTAACAAATGGTGCTGGCATAACTGGATATCCACCTGCAAAAAACTGAAACAAGATCCATACCTCACGCCATGCACAAAAACTAGCTCAAAATGCATCAAAGACTTAAATATAAAATCGAAAATGATAAAGATCATGGAAGAAAAAATAGGGACAACACTAGGATCCCGAATACATGGCATAAACACAATAGGAACAATAAGTAACAATGCACAAGTACCAGAAGAGAAACCAGATAACTGGGAGCTCCTAAAAATCAAACACTTACGCTCATCAAAAGACTTCACCAAAAGAGTCAAAAGACAGCCTACAGACTGGGAAAATTTTTTGGCTATGACAAATCCGATCAGCATGTAATCTCTAATATCTACAAGATACTGCAAAACCTCAACAACAAAAAGACAAATAACCCAATTAAAAAATGGGCAAAGGATATGAACAGGCACTTCACCAAAGAAGATATTCAGGCGGCTAACAGACACATGAAGAAATGCTCACGATCATTAGCCATTAGAGAAATGCAAATCAAAACTACAATGAGATATCATCTCACCCCAACAAGGCTAGCATTAATCCAAAAAACACAAAATAATAAATGCTGGAGAGGTTGTGGAGAGACTGGAACACTTATACACTGTTGGTGGGAATGTAAAATGGTACAACCACTTTAGAAATAGATTTGGCGCTTCCTTAAAAAGCTAGAAATAGAAGTACCATACGATCCAGCTGTCCCGCTCCTTGGAATATATTCTAGAGAAATAAGAGCCGTCACACCCAAGTTCACTGCAGCACTGTTCACAATAGCAAAAAGATGGAAACAACGTAGGTACCCATCAATGGACGAATGGATAAACAAATTATGGTATATCCACACAGTGGAATACTACGCAACGATAAAGAACACTGATGAAGCCGTGAAACATAACATGGAGGAATCTGAAGGTCATTATGCTGAGTGAATTTAGTCAGTCACAGAAGAACAAATATTATATAAGACCACTATTGTAAGAACTCAAGAGAAGGTTTAAACACAGAAGACAACATTCTTTGATGGTCACGAGGGTAGGGAGGGAGGGTAAGTGTTATTCACTAACTAGACAGTAGATAAGAATGATCTTAGGTGAAGGGAAGGACAGCACACACTACAGGGGAAGTCAGCACAACTGGACTAAGCCAAAGCTAAGAAGTTTCCTGAATAAGATCAAATACTTTGAGGGACAGAGTAGCAGGGGTAGGGATCTGGGGACCATGTTTTCAGGGGACATCTAGGTCAGTTGGCATAACAAAGCTTATTAAGAAAATACTCTGCATCCTACTTTGGTGAATGGTGTCTGAGGTCTTAAAAGCTTTCAAGCAGCCATCTAAGACGCATCAATTGGTCCCAAACCACCTGGAATAAAGGAGAATGGAGAACACCAAAGACACAAGAGAAGTATTAGCCCAAGAGACAGAAAGGGCCACATAAACCGGAAACTTCATTCGCCTGAGACCAGAAGAACTAGATGGTGCCCGGCTACCACCAATGAATGTCCTGACAGGGAACACAACAGAGAGTCCCAGATGGAGCAGGAGAAAGGTGGGATGCAGAATTCAATTTCTAGTAAGAAGACCAGACTTAATGGTCTGACTGAGAGTGGCGGAACCCCGGAAAGCATGGCCCCTGGATTCTCTATCAGCCCAGAGCTAAAACAGTTTCTGAGGCCAACTCTTCAGACAGGGATTGGACTGGACTGTGGGACATAAAGTGATACTTGTGAGGAGCGTGCCTCTTAGCTCAAGTAGATACAAGAGACTAAACGGGCAGTTTCTGTCCAGAGGTGAGATGGGAGGGCAGAGAGGGTTAGGAACTGGCTGAATGGACATGGGAAATCAGGAGTGGAAAGGAGGAGTGTGCTGTCACAGTATGGGGAGAGCAATTAGAGTCACGTAACAATGTATGTATAAATTTTTGTATGGGAAAAAAAAAAAGATTAGTATGTTAAGCCAATCTCTTTTGAGATATAAAAGAGAGACGCGAGCAGAGACGTGAGGACCTCATACCACCAAGAAAGCAGTGCCAGGAGCAGAGAGCATCCTTTGGACCTGAGGTTCCTGCGCAGAGGAGCTCCCAGACCAAGGGAAGATTGACGACAAGGAACTTCCTCCAGAGCCGACAGAGAAGAGAAAGCATTCCCTGGAGCCTGAATTTGCACTTGTAGCATATTGGACTGTGGGAGAATAAACTTCTCTTTGTTAAAGCCATCCACTTGTGGTATTTCTCTTACAGCAGCACTGGGTGACAAACACACGTGGGGATGCAGTGGCAGGTGTGAAAGGTGTCTGGCCCCCAGAGCAGGCAGACGGGAGAGGCAGAGCCTGGAGAAGGCAGAAGGGAACTTGTGGCAGCAACTCAGCGGGACAGAGAGTGGACAGCCGTGGGCGTTGCTGGGAGGTGGAGGTGAGAGGCGGGACAGGGCTGTCCTGGGACTTCTGGGACTCGGTCAGGGCTGGTGACCCAGCAGGGTTGCAGTCCACGAGCTGAGCTGAAGGAGGCGCAGGCGGCAGGGAGGACGAGGCGGCGGCCCCCTCCCCAGCCTGGCACTGCTGTCCTCTGCAGGTGGTCTGTCCTGGAGTTCGCCGAGTGTTCGCCACGAGGTTCCAAGTGACTTTCCTAATCAAATGAGTTGCTGCAGGAACCTTGACATTTTTGTTTTCTTTTCAGCTCAGTTCATGTAACATCTCTTGCTGTGCATAACCTTGTTCCTAGACAGTGTGAAATGGGCTTTCCCAAACTGACGAGCTCAGAAGACAGCTTCGATTATTAGCACAGAAACCAAGCCTGGTGCTGTGGAGTCCGTTCCAACTCATGGCGACCCCGTGTGTGCAGAGTTGAACTGCTGCATCGGGTTTTCCTGGCCGTGACCTTTTCAGAAGCAGGTGGCCAGGGCTTTGGATGGGTTTGAACCGCCAGCCTTTCAGCTAGAAGCCTAGTGCTTAGTCATCTGCCCCACCCGGGGACTCCTGTTAATACATAACCAATCTGTAATGACAGAGCTATATAGATCTGTTCTTCTCAACTGCCCAAAAAATGAATGTGCTTGCTGTTGGAACAGCGACAGAGCAAGACAAGTTCTCATGTTTTACTTGAGGGTTTAAAACTCCATCTCTACCGTGGAACCTGGGAGGGTCCCCCCGCCCAAATGCTCACGCAGGGCTGCTGACTGAGCCTCCCCCACACCGTGGAACCTGGGAGGGCCCCCTCCATGCTCACGGGGTGCTGCTGACCGAACCCCCCCCATCACTGTGGAACCTGGGAGGGTCTCCCTGATGTTCACGGGGCACTGCTGACTGAGCCCCCGCCACCGTGGAACCTGGGAGGGCCCCCCTGATGCTCACAGGGCACTGCTGACTGAGCCTCCCCCACACCGTGAAACCTGGGAGGGTCCCCCGATGCTCACGGGGTGCTGTTGACTGAGCCCCCTACTGTGGAACCTGGGGGGGCCCCCCGATGCTCACGGGGCGCTGCTGACTGGTACAGCAAGACAAGTTCTTGTGTTTGACTTGAGGGTTAAAACCCCAACTTGCCAACTTCATCACATAATCATGAGTTCTGATATGAGATTGAAGTTTGTGATTCAGAGGCTACACACCTTTAAGGAGCTGAGTTCCCGTCTCCCCTGGTGGATAACTACCCCCTAATTGTTTCCGGCGGTGAGTTCCCTGGCCCATCTTCGTGAGCACGCTCTCCCACCCTCAGACTTAGCGCCGATGGAATGGAGAACGTGCCTTGTTGATCAGTGATATACGGCTGACTTGCCTTGCCTTGAACTCCTACACACACCACTAGTTTTTTTTTTACCTCCTTTTTTAGATGAAAAAATAAGTTGAGATTTCCTTTCCCCTAATGTCTTCTGTCCCTGTGGGGTCCCATCACCTTTTAAGCAAACTTTGCTTTCATTTCCTGGGTTTCGGGGGAAGGACAGAGCCCCCAGGCAAACCCTGGTCTAACCAGAGTCCTGCCGTGTCTCCACACAGCTTCGCCATGTTCCACAAGGTTCGGATTTCTCGTCAGGACCTTCTGAACGGCGTGGGGGACGTCACCCCCGAGGGCACCTACGTCACTCCGTTTAAGGTACCAGTGTTTCCGGGGAGGGTCGTGGGTACAGTGAAGGCTCAGAGACAGTGCTTCCAGGCGTGGCTGAGCCACCCCAACCCCATGTGGAACCTGGGCCCCCCAGATGCTCATGGGTGCTGGTGACTGAGACCCCCCATCCCCCCTGTGGAACCTGGGAGGGTCCCCCTGGCAGTCAGGGGCACTGGTGGCTGAGCCCCCACGCTGTAGAACCTGGCCCTCGACACTCAGGGGCGCCGGTGGTCACAGGTGAACTCAGGACACTGCAGATGGTGATGACGACAGGGCTGGTCTGCTCCTGGCTGACCTGGGCTCTCCGTCCCCCACATGCCCTCAGGATGACATCCGGGAGACTGCCCCCCCTCACGCTGTGTCCCCCAAGGACTTAAAGGTGAAGCCTGACCAGAAGGGCCACCTGCGGCCTGCCCATGACTGGGGTGACAGACAGTGCTCGCTGGTGTCTGGGGCTCACCCCACCTCACATTCAGTGAGGGACTGTGGTGGGCCAGGGCCCTTCCCAGAGATGCCCAAGAGGAGTAGCTGGCCGTGACTATGCTCAGAGTCACGGACAGTCACAGTGACACACAGCGAGGAGTCCCCTTCACATGACCAAAGAGGGAGCTCTTGGAGCGTCTGCGGCCCGGAGCAGGAAGTTAGAGCAGGCGTGACACGTGCGTCAGGAGACGGAATAAGTCAGCAATGCGAGACAAGAAGTCATTTAAAACTGGGGTTGTTAACATACCCACTGCTGCCGAGTAGATTCCAACTCATAGTGACCCTGCCGGACAGAGCAGGACCGCCCCACAGGGTTTCCGAGGCCGTTGTCTTTATGGAAGCAGACTGCCACATCTGTCTCCTGTGGAGCAGCTAGTGGGTTCCAACTGCAGACCTTTCCATTAGCAGCCGAGTGCGTAACTGCTGCACCACCAGGCCTCCTCAAACAAAAGAACAGGAAAAGAGCACAGTGAATGAGATACGTATAGCGGGAGCAGGAACTAGTGATTGTGAAACCACGTTGACGGCGTTTGCTGGAGGCTGCGGGGAAGGACGAAAGGGGACGAGGAAGAGACTGCAGAGATGATGGAGATAACTTTCTCTAAAGGAAGGGGCCTGTCTGAGGACACCTGTCTGGGGACCTGTCTGAGGGGACCTGTCTGGGGACCTGTCTGAGGGGACCTGAGGGGACCTGTCTGGGGGGACCTGTCTGCGGGGACCTGTCTGAGGGGACCTGAGGGGACCTGTCTACAGGGACCTGTCTGCGGGGACCTGTCTGAGGGGACCTGTCTGGGGACCTGGCTGAGGGGACCTGAGGGAAACTGTCTGAGGGGACCCGTCTGAGGGGACCTGAGGGGACCTGTCTGTGGGGACCTGTCTGAGGGGACCTGAGGGGAACTGAGGGGACCTGTCTGTGGGGACCTGTCTGAGGGGACCTGTCTGGGGACCTGTCTGAGGGGACCTGGCTGAGGGGGCCTGTCTGAGGGGACTTGGCTGAGGGGGCCTGTCTGGGGACCTGTCTGCGGGGACCTGTCTGAGGGGACCTGACGGGACCTGTCTGGGGACCTGGCTGAGGAGACCTGGCTGAGCGGACCGATGGGCACCAACAAGGAGAAATGAAACACTGTTGAAAGAAAATAGCTTTAAATGTGCATTTCAAAATTAGGTTTCAAATCCACTTAAACGACCATTCTCAGGTGAGAACATAAACAAATATTGTGAGGCTTGCAAAGCTTTGGAAGACTGCCCCAGGAATACCACAGTGGAGATACCTTTGGAAGAAGGGTTCAAATATTAAAGAAACAAGCCTGGGAGAACAGCCAGAGGTACGGGAAATAAACCAGCTGCTGTCAAGGTGACCCCGACTCATGGCGACCCCCTGTGTGTCAAAGTACAGCTGTGCTCCATAGAAGTAGGTCGCCAGGCCTTTCTCCCAAGGTGCTTCTGGGTGGACTTGAACCTTCAACCTTTTAGTGAGCTGCTGAACGCGTTAACTGTTTACACCACCCAGGGACTCCACGGGAGGTAAGGATGAGAAGTAACTTGGGAAGGTTTATTATCACCTAAAACAAAATTATATACAAATACATGTATGTCTGTATGTATATACACACTCACACAAGGGGTGTGAGAGAGCGGGCTGGTGATTTGGTCTTGTTGGGGGAAGGTAAAGCTATCAGTGAGTTGAAGAGGCCAATGGGGACATGAGCGTGGGTGTAGACCTGAAGGGCAACCCCAGTAAGAACCACAGTAGAAGCAGACTTTGTAACCCGCCAGGAGGAACGGTGAGCCAGCCAATAGAAACAAGAATTGGGGTGGGCACCGTCTCAGTCTCCGAGAGCTGCTGTAACACAAACCCCACATGTAGGCGGCTTTAAAGCGCAGAAGTCGATGTTCTCACAGTTCTGGAGGTCAACGTCCAAATCGGGCCTCTGCCGTGCGGGTTCTCTCCTTGTCGGTAGCCCCGGGTGTTCCTTGGTTCCTAGGTTCCTAGACGATCCTCACATGGCGTCTGTCATCCCCTGTGTGTGTCTCTGTGTCATCTGCCCTTTTTATAACTCAGAAGGGATTTTAGAACCCACCCTTCTTGTAGATGGCCTAATTCATAGCAAAGCAAACACTCTTTCCAAACAAGATCGTATTTATAGGTATTATGTTGTTGCTGGGTGCCCACGAGTCCGTTTCGACTCATCGCAACCCCACGTGAGAGCAGAATCGCCCTGTAGGGTTTCCAAGGCTGTAATCTTTACGGGAGCAGATCGCTAGGTCTGTTCTCCCTCGGAGCAGCTGGTGGGTTCAAACCTCCGAGCTTTCAGTTAGCAGCCAAGTGCTTAACCACTGTGCCACCAGGGCTGCTTTTATAGGTATAGGGGCCAGGATTTCGTATTTTGGGGGGCACAATTCAGTCTACAACAGGGACCAAAAACAAATATCACAAAGGAAGTAGCACCAATGGAAGATATGAAACCACGCCCACTCCAACAGCTATCACGATAGACGTAAAGGAATCCAACACTGCAATTGAAAGAATGGAACTACCGGGTTGGGTTCGAAAGCACCAAAACAGGATCCAAAAGGGAGTTGTCGTATTTATAGGTATATATATAGGATATACCAGGCAACGAGCCAACATAATTTAAGGCAAAAAACGCCGTAAGAGGGAAAGATTGTTCCATCTGGACAAAAGAATAGTTGAACCGGAAAGTATATCCATCATAACAGTTCAGCCCACGTAACAGTTCAAACTCAATATACACCAGGCAGCTGCTGGCAAAACTGCCCGGAGAGGCGGATCCACGGACAGCTGTAGCTGGAGAGCTTACCACACCCCTGTCAGAAACCAGTTGAGCATTGGAGTGTGATCAATTACTGTTGTGTGTGGCCTTTCTAGCCATGGTCTGTGACTCACCCAGGTGATTGGGTGAGGCTGTGCAGATAAGATAATTGTTGTCCACCGAGGGGATTGGTCAGTTTTGCCTTAAAAGAGAGCCCATTCCAGAGCAGAGAGGAGAGCCCACTGCCACCAAAGAAGGAGAGACCCGGCCCACGGAGAGAGAAAGCTGAGTGCCTTTGGGCACAGGCTGAGGGCCAGGGAGAGGCATGCCTGCAAGCACGGCTGGGAAGAGGCTGTCCTGATGGAAGAACTGTATCCCAAATGTTCCTGAGCCTGAATTGTAACTGTTACTTCCCTAATAAACCCCATAATTGCAAGTGTTGTCTGTGAGTTCTGTATGACCATTGCAATGAATTATCAAACTCAGCAGAGAAATAGAGTGCTGTGGGAAGGACGGTTGGTGTCAGAATTGGTAAAGATGGCAGAGAGAGGAGGCAGGTCTGACCCCTGCCTCATAGGAATCAGCCTTGGGTTGTTGGTCCTGGTTCTCCTTCCCTGTTGTGGGGTTGGAGGAGGTCAGACACTGCCCCCAAGCCGTTTTTAAATCATGCAGACAGAAAATAAGCAGAAGTATCAGAAACCTAAATAAAACAGTCAGCTAGCTCATGCTGTGCAATCAGTGGTTGTCAAATTCTTTGGTCTCGGGACTCCTTTATACTTGTAAAACTTATGGATGATCCAAAGGACTTCTGCTTATGTAGGTTATAGTTGATGATATTTGTTGTTGTTAGGTGCCTTCAGGTCGTTCTGACTCACAGCAACCCCGTGTACAACAGAAGCAAACGCCGCCCAGTCCTGCGCCATCCTCACAATCGTTGTCATGCTTGAGCCCACTGTTGCAGCCACTGTGTCAGTCCATCTCATTGAGGGTCTTCCTCTCTTTCGCTGACCCTCTACTTTACCAAGCATGATGTCCTTCTCCAGGGACTGGTCCCTCCTGATAAGATGTCCAAAGTATGTGATATGAAGTCTTGTCATCCTCCCTTCAAAGGAACATTCTGGTTGTTCTTCTTCCAAGACAGATTTCATTCTTTTGGCAGTCCATGGTATATTCAATATTCTTCACCAACACCATAATTCAAAGGCATCATTTCCTCTTTGGTGTTCGTTATTCATTGTACAGCTTTCGCATGCTTATGAGGCAATTGAAAATACCATAGCTTGGGTCAGGTGCACCTTAGTCCTCAAAGTTGACGTCTTTGCTTTTTAACACCTAAAGAGATCTTTTGCAGTATCAGTATAGGAATACGCAAATGTCGTTATCGTTGTTAGGTGCTATCAAGTCAACTCATAGCAACCCCATGTACAACAGAATGAAACACTGCCCAGTCCTGCGCCATCCTCACAGTCATTACTCTGTTTGAGCCCATTGTTGCAGCCACTGTGTCAATCCATCTTCTTGATGGTCTTCCTCTTTTTCGCTGACCCTTTACTTTACAAAGCATGATGTCCTTCTCCAGGGACTGGCCCCTCCTGATAACATGTCCAAAGTGCATGAGACGAAGTCTCACTATCCTCTCTTCTAAGGAACATTCTGGCTGTACTTCTTCCAAGATTGATTTGTTTGTTCTTCTGGCAGTCCATGGTATATTCAGAATTCTTCACCAACACCATAATTCAAATGTATCGATTCTTCTTCAGTCTTCCTTATTCGTTGTCCAGCTTTCATGTGCATGTGAGGCAATTGCAAACACCATGGCTTGGGTCAGGCGCACCTTAGTCCTCACAGTGACATCTTTGCCTTTTAACACTTTAAAGAGGTCTTTTGCAGCAGATTGACCCAATGCAATACATCATTTGATTTCTTGACTCCACGGGCATTGATTGTGCAGCCAAGTAAAATGAAATTCTTGACAATTTCAATCTTTTCTCCATTGATCATGATGTTGCTTTTTGGTCCAGTTGTGAGGATTTCTGTTTTCTTTATGTTGAGGTGTACTCCACACTGAAGGCTGTGGTCTTTGATCTTCACCAGTAACTGCTTCAAGTCCTCTTCACTTTCAGCAAGCAAGATTGTGTCATCTGCGTAACAAAGGTTGCTAATGAGTCTTCCTCCAATCCTGATGCCCCATTCTTCTTAATGTAGTCCAGCTTCTCTATTATTTGCTCAGCGTATAGATTGAATAAGTGTGATGAAAGGATATAACCCTGACACACACCTTTCCTGACTTTAAACCACCCAGTATCCCCTTGTTCTGTGTGAATGACTGCCTCTTGGTCTGTGTACAGGTTCCTCATGAGCACAATTAAGTGTTCCGGAATTCCTGGTCTTTGCAATGTTATTTACTGTATTAGAAATTTTAACGGTATTGATTTAAAAATCACAATAATAAACTTACTATGCAGTAATATAAATATTTTAAGCTATATTTTCCCAAGCAGAACAAAATATTGAGAAGAGTGGCATAGTTGTATATTCTCACAAAGGTCTTTAATTTCTGGTCTAAGAGAAGATAGCTGCATTGTCGTATCTCACTTTGTTGAGATATGGTGCTTTGCTTGAAGTATGTGAAGAAATTTTAATTTTTCCCCAGAGAATCCTTCATTATTACAGCTCGAGGCTGGAATTTTTTCTTCAGTTCTTTCACCTTGAGAAATGCCCAGCGTGTTCTTCCTTTTTGATTTTCTATCTCTAGGTCTTTGCACGTCAGTATAATTCTTTACTTTGTCTTCTCGAGCCACCCTTTGAAATCTTCTGTTCAGCTCCTTTACTTCATCATTTCTTCCATTTGCTTTAGCTACTCGACATTCAAGAGCCAGTTTCAGAGTCTCTTCTGACATCCATTTTGGTCTTTGCTTTCTTTCCATCCTCTTTAATGTCCTTCTACTTTTTTCACATATGATGTCGTCCACAACTTGTCTGGTCTTTGGTGGTCATTAGTGTTCAGTGTGTCAGATCACCACGCGGTGACTGAGGGCAGGGCCTCAGCTTGGTCCTCCCTGTGTCTGTGCAGAGTGAACGCACCTCCATCTCTGCTTTGCTTTGCCTGAGGCCACGCAGGCATCCTTGCTCACGGCCCCAACTGCTTTCCCCCCAGGATGACAGGCAGCGCTTCGGTGCCTCCCTGGGCGGCTTGTCCTTTGGCCGCATCAGCATCATGGGCATGTCCATCGTCAACTTGAAGCTGGCCCTGTGCATCGCGATCCGATTCTCGGCTACTCGGCGCCAGTTTGGACCGGCCAATGCAGAGGAAATACCCATCCTCGAGTATCAGACGCAGGTACAGTATTTCCACTGTGGTTTCATTTTCTGTCTATCACGTGTGCAGATGTAATTCTTTTAAATAGTTGGAATTTGGTTGCTGAGAGTTGATCAAGTCTCTTAAGGCAGTTAGCAGGACAATTGATAGTAAACAGGACACATAACGGGGCACATTCAGGACACGTAACAGGACAGGTAACAACGGGACAGGTAACAAGAGGACAGGTAACAAGAGGACAGGTTACAGGACAGGTAACACTATAATTAACAGGAAGGCAGATCCTGAGCAGCAAAACTATCAGTCAACATTTTTTAATAAAATATGAAGTAGCAAAAATGAGGACAATGAAAAGGAGTGACTCTTGGTGAAGCTTTGGGGAGATGGTGTATGTGCTCATTGCCACTTACTCCCAAAGCCACGGTCGTCTGGGGGCAGTGATTGACACCGTGTGTCCACAGCCACCTTCTCCGACTCGCTTGCCCTGTTCCTGGCAAATCATCCCAGTGACGTCAGAGATGCAGAGGCGTTAGTTGTGATGTCGAGCAAAAGGACCTCTGGTCTCACGTGTCTGCAAAGATCAGCCACTGAGGTTGAGGGGCAGCCGGGTGGTGACATGGGGACGTGCAGACGTCACTAAGTGAGAAGGGGGATATGCTTGTTTATCTGAGGAACGTCACTGTGGCGCTTACCTGCAACCTGTTACCTGTGTTACGTGCCCTTTCATGCACGCCATCAACCACCACGGGAGGTGCGTTAGACTCATTATTCCCAGTTTACAGGTTGGGGAGACCCAGATCAGATAGGCGATTCAAATCAAAGTTCAGAAGCTAAATCAAGCTACACACAAACACAGTACACTGGACTAAAATTTGAGGCGACCGTAACAGAATTGCTGCTATGGCTGTAGACCTGTTCTACAGTGAACACACCAGTAAGGGAAAGCAGTGGGGCATCCAGGCCTGTGCAGCACACACCCCACCCACCCCCTATCATCCTTCCCTCCATCCACCCATCCACACACCTCTCCATCCATCCACCATCCATCCATCCATCCATCCACCCACCATCCATCCATCCACCATCCACCCATTCATCCATCCACCATCCATCCACTCACCCACCCATTTATCCATCCATCCATCCGCCCACCATCTGTCCGTCTACTCACCCACCCATCTATCCATCCGTCCATCCATCCGCCATCCATCCATCCACCATCCATCCTTTCATCCATCCACTGATTCATCCACACATGCATCCCTCTCTCCTTCCCTCCCTCCCTCCTTCCATCCACCATCCGTCCATTCACCCATCCATCTATCCATCCATCCATCCAGTCATCCATCCATCCATCCATTCATCCATCCACCCACTCATCCATCTATCATCCATCCGTCCATCCAGCCATCCATCCACTCACCCACTCATCCATCCATCCATCCATCCACCCACTCATCCATCCATCCATTCATCCATCCACCCACTCATCCATCCATCCATCCATCCACCCACTCATCCATCCATCCAT